CGCAGCGCTGGGCGGCTGCCCAGCGGCGCGTCCCTGGGCCTGAGGCTGCAGTGCGCGGAGCTGCGGAGGCGCCGCGACCTGGACCCCTCCGTGCTGGCGGTCAACTACACGGTGCGGATGCTGGCGGGGCTGCTCCAGTCAGGCGAGCTGCCCATGCGGATGTTCGGCCGAGGGCTGGAAGCGGCGGTCACCCGCCATGCGACGGCGGTGTCGCCCTGGGTGCACTGTGCGTCTCCCGTGGACGCCGCCGTCCTCACCCTGGCCAGGATCGGCTGGCACTTCGAGTCCGAGCGGTGCCTGGTCACGGACCTCGGCGACAAGCTGGACCTCGCGCTCCTGGGGCCTCGCGAGCTCGGCCTGGAGGCGGGGCTCGGCGCGCGGCGGGCCTCCGACCGCCACGAGATGCGGAAGCTGGCCCGCAGCGACGCGCTGCGGGGGCCGCTCTTCTGGGATGCGCTCGCACCGGTGCTGGGGCCAGGCGGCGACCTCGGCGAGCGCGAGCAGCACGCGCTGATCGCCTACATCTCCAACGCGCACTGGCCGCAGGCGAGGCTGTTCAACGCTGGGGAGCGTGGCCATGCGAGGTGCCGATGCTGCGGGGCGGAGCGGGGCACACTCTGGCACAGGCTGTTCGAGTGCCCCGTGCTGGCGGCGCAGCGGAGGGACTCCCTCTCTCCGCGGCTCGCGCGGTATGCGGCGCAGGCGCGCGCCCGAGGCGAGGCTGCCGGCGAGAACTTCGCTCGATGCTGGCTGCCAGCGCCTCCGCCGCCGCAGGGCCGCCGCACCGACGCCATGAGTGTGGTGGGTCCGTCGGCCACCCGACGACAAGCTCAATGGGAACGCCGCACCGACGCCATGGGTGTGGTGGGTCCGTCGGCCACCCGACGACAAGCTCAATGGGAAGCTGTACCTGGACGGCTCGGCCCTCGAGCCCCACTTCAGCTCCCTCCGCCGCGCGGGCTGGGCCATCGCGCAGTGCGACGACGACGGCAACCTGATCGCGGGCGTCTACGGCACGGTCTGGCGCGACCTCTGCCCGCAGCAGACGGCCAAGGACGGCGAGGACTTCGCGGTCTGGATGCTGGCCAACTACGCGGGGCCCGCGGTGGAGGAGGTCAACATCGACTGCAGCTCCACGGTCGCGTGCCTGCGGCGAGGGCGGGCCTACGCGACGGCGCCCAACAGGGCCAACGCCCATCTCTGGAGCAGGATCCTGGCGGCGTTCGAGCCTGGCTCCTTTGCGTCGCGGAAGGTCCCAGCGCAGTGCAGCCGCCAGGCCGTGCTGGACGGGCGCCTGACGGAGGCCCAGCGCCGCGGGAACCAGCACGCGGACCGCCTCGCCAAGATGGGCGCCAGGCTGCACGCCGTGGACAGCAAGACCGTGGGTGAGCACCACGCGCTGGCTGAGGTGGTCCAGGAGCTGGCGCGCTGGATCAGCCAGGCGGCGGTCATCTGGCAGGGCATCGACGAGAAGGACAGCGAGGGCCTCCCTGATGCTGGTGAGCGGCGGCAGGTGCGCTTTGAGGTGCCGCCTGAGCCGCAGGCCCCGCCCGCTGGGCAGGCGAGCGCGGGCCCAGCGCCCAAGAGGCCGCGGCTGGAGAGCGCCCGCTCGACTGGCAGCGCCGCGGGCTTCTCCGCCAGCGCGGCTGCCTTCTGCATCCTCGGGCACGCCCTCAGCTACGCCTGCAGCTCCGACGGCGAGAAGACCGAGGAGCTCGTGGCGTGCACGAAGTGCGGGGCCTACATGGTCCTGGGCGGCCGCTCGGGGACGGGGCCGCGCTTGAAGGAGCCCTGCGTGGGCGACAGGACGGACAGGAGCGGCCGCAACCAGCGCAGCCTCTGGGCGCGGGGGCTCCACCCAGGCGGCAGGCCGCGGGCGAGCAGCCAGCGCCAGAAGGACGCGGCCATCCCCGTCCTGCGGGCGCAGGGGCCCGTGCCTGCCGACGCCCAGGAACGGTACCTGGAGTGGCTCGGCGTGGAGCCCGAGCGCGCGCCGTCGGCGGCAGGCGGCGCGGCGTCCAGCTCTGCCGGCCCCAGCGGCGGCGGCGGCGGCGAGCCCGCGGCCAGCGGAGGGCCTGCGCCCGCGGCGCCCGCGGCGGGCCGCGCGGGCGGGAGTATGTCCGCATTTGCCGGTTGCGGACACACTCCCGTGCAAGCCCCAGGCGCCCTTGGAGCCGGCGCTGGCTCTGGCGCGGCTGGGGCGCGCGGCGCCCTTCTCGCCGTGTACGGCCTCGACGAGGACGAGCTCGCCACCAGGGCCGAGGAGGCCGTGAGCGCGGTCGAGCGCAGACGCGTGCGGCGCCGCCTCGAGAGCCGTGGAGCCCGCTCTGAGAGCGATTGATCAAGTGTAGTATCTGTTCTCTGCATTGCTCCGCTTGATTGGCTATGATCATGTGTAGTATATGTTCATATCTATCAGAGCTTGCTTCACGTGATGCTGTGGGGGCGAGGCGTTTTCAAGGCTCAGCCTTTCGCCTGCCCAGGCCCAAAGCGGCCTCCCCTCGTTTTGGGAAGGGTTTTTTCCTCGCCTTTAGGGCCCCGACAATACAATACAATACAAGACAGAAAAAGACAGTGAAGAACACAAGCCTGCAAAGGGAAAGACGAGGCAGAAAGAGAGCGAGAGAGACAGACAGACAACAGAAAGACGCTTCCAAACCGCCCCGAAATCGCCCTTCCAGAAATGACCGCTGTCGAGAATTACAACTACGTGTCTCTTCATACAGGTCTGAACATGCTTGCCATGTCGTGAACGTGAGCGCGTAACGACCGCAAAAGCCCGACGGGCCTGACTATGAAGAGCATGTGCCGTGACTGTGGGCGCTCGACCGAACATAGCGGAACGCCGAGCCAGAGAACAACCGAACCCGAGAGCCCGAGGGAACAATCATCATCGGTGCCACCATCTTCGCCACAGAGAGAGCACTGCGCGCATTTTCGGGCCGATAGATCATCACTGGCGTCACAGAGCTCGAATCGCATGTCCGTGTCATCTTAAAGTTTAAGATGACACGAACATGCGATGAGTGCTATCTTAAATTTCTTAGGTCTTAAGTCTGTTTAACATGACCGTGTCATCTTAAGTCTCAAGAATGTTTAAAATACTCTTGGGACGCGAAAGGCCCGTCATGCCAAAGAAACCACAAACTGGAACCCTGAACCAACAGACATTATCTCTTGGGAAACAAATGTTTACTTCCGCCAGCTTCCGCCAACCTTCCGCCGACGGAGACGGCCTCGCTTTACTTCCGCCGCCTTCGCCAGCCTTCCGCCGTCTTCCGCCAAGGAAACGATGGCAGCTCAATCGAACTTGGAAGGCGAGAACACTTCTGGAACGCCCAAAATGAAGGTGGTATCTTACTCCAGCCCAGGGGAAGGGACCGGTTAATTACCTCGTGCACCTCTCGCGGGCTGCTTGAGAACCCAATTTCAAGATGGGAATGTGGTCTTCAACAGGGTCCCAGTATCCCCGGAGGCAAATCATTCATCCCAAGCCGTAGTTTAACGGGGGTGCAGGCTGAAATGTAATTAAAAGTGCAGGCATATTGTGCGTGCCCGTGTTGAAATGATTTGGCTGCGGCCGCCCCTAACGGAATCAAACATGAAACCCACATCGGGGGAATAACGACTCGTTCGCGGCGGGCAGAACACGGAAGGCCAAAAACGGCCAAGAACAACTCGTCAACACCGCTCAAACATAATCGGCAGTTGTGACGGACACCGCCTTGAAAACGAATCCAGAACACATAACACGCAAAGAAGGGCGGCAAAACGCTGGCCCGGCCTGGAAAAACGGAAAGAGAACGGCCACCGAAAACTGATCGACATCGGAGCTCAGAGCTGCAAAACGCCGTTGGCTCGAAACGGGGACAAAAAACGCCTGCAGCGGTACAGTCAAAAACCCTAATAAGGACGCGCGGTAAGGGCGCAAGACCCTTGGAAGCCGAAGTTGGGATTTTTGAGGGGGCGGACGACGAAAACCTCAAGGACGCAAGAGCGAGGCAGGGCAAGGACGCAAGGGTACCCTGAGCAAAGTCGCGCGTGCTTATTAGGGCTTTTGACTGTAAGTCATAATCAGCGCATGAACCCCCCGGGGGGCCCGCGGAGGGCCCCCCGTGAGCCCGAGGGCAGCGAACGACTTCAAGGTCTGCTCCCCTATAAGGGCCCTTGGGTGGGGATCCGCAGCACGCCCGGCCATGGCGCCGAGAGGGCCTCCCGGGAGGCTCCGCAGGGCGAAGGCGAGGACAGCGCTTAGGGGAACAAGAAGTGACATAAACACAAAAAAGCTTGGAGGACCGCGCGGATTTCTCGGATCAGCGCTGGGGACCCCCGGCGGCGCCTCCGGCGCCGCCCCTGGCGCGCTTCGCGCGCCAGGGAGGGGGGTCCAGCGCCGATCCGAGAAATCCGCGCGGACCTCCGAATTTTTATGCTTATGTCACTTTTTGTTCCCCTAAGCGCAGCCGGCATCTGTTCCTCAAACCTCAAACCTTCCTCCTCCGACGGGGCTGCCTGTCGGCGGCGAGCTCGGCGGGGAAGCGAGAAGGGGCGGGCCTCCTCAGACGGCTCGGAGGCCCCGCGGCCTTCTGAGAAGCCTCCTTGGCCTTCCCCGAAGACGCAGAAAGCCTCTCAGAGGGCGCGAGGTCGTAAAAAGAATTAGGTGCACCTCTCGATCTGTGCGCGCCATCCTTGCGCAGGGGGGCATGCTGATCTTCAACGGGTGATCCAGCGTCCACGGGTGATCCACGAAGGGGGGTCCAGCGGGCGCGAGGGCTCCTGAGAAGTCCCGCCGCCTTCCGAGAAGGCCTTCTCCTTCTCACTTTACCAGCCTCGAACGTATCCCTATCCCTAAGATTGACACGCCCAAAGGCGATGACAATCTTAGGGATTCGCCCTCAAAAAATAAGGGATCCCTAAGATTGGCATCGTCATGAGGACGTGCCCAGCATAGGGATAGAGATATGTTCCAGGCTGGTAACACTTCCCCCCCCGTCGCATGCCGCCGATCCTGGCGAGCCAGGGCGTCCGCGGCGGCCGTGCCGGCAGCCGCCGCCGCGCCCGCGACAGGCGACACCTCGCCGTCCGCGGCAGCGCCGTCCGCGTCGGCGCCGGGGTCGCACGCCGAAGGCCGCCCGATGACGGCGCCCGCGGCGCCTGGCTTCGCGCCGGCGGCCTGGAGCACCTTGAGGGTCCCAAGACGGTGGGGCGGGGGGGGACTGGCAGAAGGGGGGGACACATCGAGCTGGAATCAGCGATACGTCGCCGGTAGATCGGCGATGGCGGAGCCGCACGTTCCTGGGCAGGTTCGGGCTATCGGGTCCCTAGCAGCGATCGACGGGCGATTGGGTGTCGATGCGTCCTTGAACCTCACATCCCCTTAGCAGACCCGCGCTGATTCACGTCTCCGCGGTTTGTCTGCAAATGTCCATCGAGGACGAAAACAACTACATCAATTCGCCGACCCCTTTGGGTTCATCGGCGTGTGAGATGTTTCCCCCCCGAGCACCTCCCCGGGAACCTGGTCCAATCGATTCGGAGGGGGCGGGGTCCACCGGGAACCGGGCGCACGCGCCACGGGGGGACAGAGGTCCCCCAAAAAAGGCCAAGAGGGAATCAAGAGGCCCACTGGACAGTCCAAGAGGGCCACGAGCCCCTGAAGATCAATCGAAAACGCCCACGGTGGCCTCCAGACAGCCTGAGAGGCCCACAAGACGGCCCACAAGACTCTCCAAGAAACCCAAGTGGTGTCCCAAGACGGCCTCGAAAAGCAAAACTCGCCCCATTTTCATGGGAGTACCTGCATGGTTAGCACAGTCGCCTCTCCTGCGGTCACAACATCCAAGACAATCCGAAGACAACCCAAGAGGCCCCCCAGAAGGCTCTCAGACGACCCAAACGGAGGGACAGAGGGCCCCAAACCAGGCCAAGAAGGCACCAAGAGGCCCTCTGAACGGTCCAAGAGGGCCACGAGCCGCCGAAAGATCTGCGGAAAGCGCCCACGCTGGCCTCCAGACGGCCCAAGAGGCCCCCAAGACGCCCCCAGAAACGGTCAAGAGGCGTGCCTAGACAGCCTCAAGAAGCAAAAGTCGCCCAATCTGTCCTGGGAGCTCTGCATTTTTAACACTTTCGCCTCTCCTGCGGTCACGATATCCAAGACAAACCAAGATGCCTCCTGGGTCGCCCCAAGACGGCCGAAGAGGCCCAAATAAAGAGCTCTCAGACGACCCAAACGAGGGGACAAAGGGCTCCAAAACAAGTCAAGAGGACACCAAACGGGCCATCTGGACGGGCCACGAGCCCCCGAAAGATCGATCGAGGACGCCCACGCTGGCTTGCAGAATGCGCAAGAGGCCCCAATGACGCCCCAAGAAACCGTTAAGAGGCGCCTCAATACGGCCTTAAAGAGCATCGCTCGCCAAATTACCGTGGGGAAACCTGCATATTAACACCTTCGCCTCTCCTGCGATCATAACATCCAAGACAACCCAAGAAGCCTCCTGGGTCGCCCAAAGACGGCCCAAAAGACCCGACATATGGCTTCTAGACGACCCAAACGGAGGGACAGAGGGCCCCCAAACCAGCAAAGAGGGCACCAAGAGGCCCTCTGGACGGTCCAAGAGGGCCACGAGCCGCCGAAAGATCTGCGGAAAACGCCCACGCTGGCCTCCAGACGGCCCACCGCCAAGACTCAAGACGCCCCCCAAAACGGTCAAGAGGCGTGCCTAGACAGCCTCAAGAAGCAAAGGTCGCCCAATTTGTCCTGGGAGCATCTGCATGTTTAGCACTTCCGCCTCTCCTGAACAACATCCAAGACAGCCCAAGAAGCCTCCTGGATCGCCCCAAGACGGCCAGAAAGGCCCCCAGGAGGGCTCCCATACGACCGAAGGGGGCCCTAAGACCGCTCAACAAACCCGCGACGCAAGAGGGCACCGCGAAAGCTCCAAGAGGATGTCCACAAAGGGGGCCCAGACGGACATTTCGAGCATTCGACCCTGCACCGCTGCCTGGTTGCGTCAAAATTACCGGAGAAAACCCAATCAGGGGATGATTCGAAAATTAGTCATATGGATTGTGAGATCGATTGTGAGATCGATAATGAAATCGATTGTGGAATCGATAGAGGACGATTGTAAGGTCGATCGCGAGACCGAGAGTGAAACCGATTCAATCAGATCGATAGGGAGATCGATCGCGAGATCGCTCTTGCGATATCTAAGGAGATCGCTTGCGAGATCGATTGTGAGATCGACTGTGAGATCGAGATCGATAGAGAAATGGGAAATGAGATCGATGCTGAGACCGATCGATAAGAAGATCGACCAAAAACCCGGGAACCTGGGAACCTCGCCGCCCACCGAATCGGCCTGGAAACCGGGAACCCGGAACCAGGAACCCAGGAACCCAGCATGCGACCAAAATCGGCGGGAAACTTTCGCCAACTCCTTCAACCTCCGCTAGGACCCATTCAGTGCAAGCACTGATTGTGGAAAAAATGCCAGAGCCCCTGGAGGCTCCCAAAAGCTTCAAAAACTGTTTCCACAACGCCGCTGGGACGCCTCCCACGGAACCCAATCCGCCACCCGCGTGGCCTACGACCCGCAGCCCAGGCGCGGGTGGCGGAATGAGCCGAAGACTTGTCGATAATCGTTCTTCTGGAATTTGAACATATGCCCACCGTTAATACACGTGGGTTCTCGCCATGTTCCCCTGCGCATGTCCAGCGAACATTGGCAATGTAAGTTGCAAAAATAACGGAATAACTGCTACCGATGCGGGCTGTGCCGCGATTGTCGTGGGGCCTGGGGGGCATTTTTGGCGAGCGCGCGGCTGATTGTCCAAGAGAGCCCCGACACGCCCCACGGCTCGCTCCGAAACCTACACGACGGTTCCACAACGTCTTTTGACAGATGCCCATCGAATGTAAACGTGGGTTGTCTGACGTTTCCCCGGTCCGTCTCGCGCGCCAAAGCGGCCCAAACAGAGCACCAACACAGTCCAAGACAGCGCCGATATGGCCCACGGTAGCCCAACGACGGTCGAATACGGCATCGAAACGGCACTCGGCCCGTCCAAGACGGCTCAGGAATCAACCAGTGGTGCGTCGGAGGAATGATTTCTTGCTTTCCTACGCGCACTTCAAAGACAGGTGCCATTCCTAATCGAATCGGCGTGGCCTGAAGACTAGTCCACGGGCATTCCATTCTCGTCCCATCAGATCCTTCCCACCTCCTGTCCTCTTCAACCACCTCCCCGACAAGCTTCTCCTGAGCATCATCCCTACCAAACTTTCAAGACGAGTGCAGCTCCTGCGACGGAGGCCCTCTCGCGGCCTACACGAATCCAGTACATACACCCGCAAACAACAGCCCATCAGCCGTCTGGGCGCCGGTGGGTTAGGAGAGCCCCTCGTCCAAACCCCTTCGTCACCTTCGGAAAGGGATCTCCCCCTGCTCCGTATTCATACACACCCGCCCCCTCGACCGACGGCCGACCCGAAGCAAAGACACCTCCCCAACAACCCCTGTCATCACAATAATTGCAAGACAAATTGCACTTTGCGACATAATCTGGATCATGTTCGGGCGTCAAGCCCTTACTGTGTATTGGTCTGCTGCACGACGACAGGAAGCATCATGTTACCCCGTGCGTGCAGGCCCACCATCCCTGTCAGGAGAAAAAGACAACTGCAATGCGATCGTGGCAGCAACATCCCACGACTCCTTGGGGTGTCCTCAGAGTGTGAAATGCTTACCCCTCCCCCGACCCCTCCACCCAGACCCCGGTCCGGTCGATTTGGAGGGAGGGGGGTCCGCCTCGATCCCTCGGGCCCGGCCCCGCCGCATCATGGGAGGACAAAGGTCCCCACAACGAGCTCACAAGCCCCAAGAGGCACCCAAGACTGTTCAAGAGGGCCCCCAATCGCCGACGGCCCCTCTAGGACGGCGAAGTAGCCTCCAGACGGCCTGAGGCACCCCCAACACGCCCCACGACGCCTCCAGGAGCCCTCCCAAGAGGGCCCCACGAGCCAACATTCATTGATGTTCAATCCGCTTATGAAAGAAATTAATTAGCGTTCTCGCCTTATTGGTTTCCCGACGCTACACGACGGCCCAAGAGGCTCCCAAGATCCTCCCAGATGGCCTCAAAGGCCTCCATGAGGGCGTCGAAACAACCAAAGGGAGCCCCCACACGGCCCCAAAGGCGGCCTCAGACGCCTCCAGCATGGCCTAAAAGAGCCCGTAGACCGCCGCAAGGGTCCCGGACGGGAACCCGAACCTGCATTTCGAGCCCTCGGCCACCCGAGACCCGTGAGCACCCTCCACGAAGCTCTCCGAGGTCCCCCATTGGCCCCCATGAAAGCGCCCACGAGGGGACCAGCAGGCCGCCAAACGCGCCAAAAGAGGCTCTCAGGGACAACCCACCACAACCGCCAGTTCCCGACGGGCACTGCGGCGCGGCTTGAGCCCAAGAATCCGGCTCCCAAGAGGCCTCCAAGAGGCCCCCAAGAAGCCCCCAAGAAGAGGCTTCCAAGAAGCCCCCTGGAGGCACCCAAGAAGCCTCAAAGAGGCCCCAAAGAAGCCCCCAAGATGAGGCTCCCAAGAAGCCCCCTGGAGGCCCCATGAGGCCCCCAAGAGGCCTCCAAAAAGCCGCCAACAGGCGCCCAAGAGGCCTCCAAGAACCCTGGAGGCCCCAAGAAGCCTCCAAGAACCCTGGAGGCCCCAAGAGGCCCCTGGAGGCCCCAAGAGGCCGCCAAGAACCCTGGAGGCCCCACAACGACTGGACTGTACGTGCTCCAGACGTGCACCCCGCGAGGATTTTTCTTGCATCGGCGCTGGAGGTCCGGGAGGACTCCGGCTCTTGGAGGTCCGCGCGGATTTTTCTTGCATCGGCGCTGGACCCTGCTGGCGGCGCCCCCGGCGCCGCCCCTGGCGCGCTCCGCGCCCCAGGGGAGGGGGGCCCAGCGCCGATCCAAAAGAAGCCGCACGACCTCCTAAATGTTATGCTTGTGCCGACAATATGTTTTTCGACGACCCCTCCCCCTCAATGGTTAACTCAAGCTTCGCGCGGCCCACTTGGCTTCGACAGGAAGAGGTGCGCTCTCGACCCGCAAATCAAAAAAATGTTTTTCGACGACCATGTGAGGACCTCGGAAACGCCAAAGACCTCACCGCACAGTCTCCAAACCGCACGTTCGGTGGCGACTCATGAGAGCCTCCCATACCATCTTGTCGGCTCTTGTGAATCGACGCCCATCGACGCCAAATCGACGCTAAATCGAGGAGCACCGACGCTACATCGGCACTATTCCATCGACTCCCGGACGCCAATCGACGCTGATCGCCGCTAACGAAGGAATTTAAACAGGGTGCCCGAGGCTCCCATAACTTGCTACCGAACGCACGTTTTGATCCGCGCTCCTCAGGACGCGTGTTGTCGTCAACTTGTTAGTCCCCAAACGTGATGGTGACAACACCCAGCGGTGAGTCTCGGGCGATCTGGTGTCACCACACGGTTTGGGGACTCGTGCGGGTCTTCGAGGATGCCCCGAACGCTGATGGGCCCAGGAGTCCCGCTGCCCGGCGGTGACCCCGTGCCCCCAAAGCCTGCGGCGCCTTTTAGAGGGGATTCCAGGTCACCACCTGATCTCTCACCATCTGGCTTTCGGCCGAATCGGTCGCGGGGGGAAGCCCCCGCGCCCGGGGCGCGAGGGCGACGGCCCATCATTGCCCGAAGCGAGTCCCCCCACAAAAAGTGAATTGCGTTAAGCCACTCGCGCCAATTGTTGCTTCGGCTTCTTTTCGGCCCCGGGGGCGCCGAGAGATTCGACGAGAGAGGCGCTCGAGAAATTCGATGCAAACAGGACGCGTGTTGGCATCAACGCGTGCTAGGCCACTGGAGCCCGCCACCATGCGACGCAGGGAACTGCCACGGCGGCCCCGACGCAGGCTGCGTGCCGTCGGCGGAGCTCCACAGAGGGGCCAGTCAACGCCCACCGGGCCACCACGCGTTCTGAAAGAGGCCCGGGGGCACCAATAGATGCACACAACTCCCAGGACTCCCCATGTGCTTCTAGATTTCCTGGTTTCTTGTCTTCCCCCTCACTTCCCATATTCTCCCATATGTTCTTTGGAATCGCCGGTTCATTGTGTCTGTGTGTCTATTCTCTCTCCTCCAGAAAAAAATGGGTTCACGCACACTGGGCCACCACACGTTTGAGGATCATGGAGGTTTGACTACCTACCAAACCACGCCAATCAAACCCGAAGACCCCGAATTTAGGGTTGGGGGGGATACGGGCTTCATGTGTGTCTATCCATGTTCCCCGAGCCCTCCCCACTGGAAGTGGAGGGCAAATCGGGGCCTTCGGGAGGGTTGGGTTGGTGTGGTGTGGTGGGCGGTAAATTTGGGAGCCTCGGAGGCCCTCGTCACCCCGAATCCCCCCTGGCCCACCACACGGTGCAGTCACCGCACCCGTTGTGGGGAAACTCAGAAGTCTCGATGTCGCTACTCCCTGGACCTCTCGAGGCGAATCCAGCTGTGGCGACGAGGGCCTCCCGGAGGCCCCACAAAGGAAAAACGAGGGAAGGGTAGTTGTACGAGTACATGTTCCTCCGCTGATGTTGATGGCTCCTGCAGCACCGCGTAGGGCTCCGCCGCCTCCGCCGGGAACGCGGCGCGGTAGCCGACGCGCGACGGCGCGCACGAGCCCAGACCTCTGACGATCTGATGTTTGAGATCCCGGCGCCGCTGCTTTGCGGCGGGCATAGGGGGGGCAGGGGGAGGGGGAGGGCTTCTTAGAGGAGGCTGCTGCTTGGAAGGCGCGGACCCCACATCTACAGAGAAGGCCCGCGCCTTCTAGAGAGCAGGGGTGCTTCTAAGCAGCCCCCCCCCATCCCCCCCCCCATCCCCCCACCCCCCTCTGCGCGCGCGTGGCTGAGCTTCTTCGCCTTCGGCCGCCAGGGCCCGCCATCGCACCCTCAGACGCGCTCCAAAAGTTGCACGGGACGGACAACAAAAAAAACCTACCCCTGGAGGAGGGGTCGGGACCTGCGGGATTCATTGGGGGCCACGCGCGGACAACCAACAGAAATGCATCATCAGAGGTCTGGCAAAAGGCAAGGGGGGGTAGCGCGAGTGGGGGGGGGGGGGCGAAGAGGGGGGTGGCGCGAGGGGGGTGGACCTCCCAAGAGGGCTGGGGGCACTCCGAGAAGGCAGGGAGCCTCTGAGAAGTCCCTCCCCGCTTCTCTGAAGGGCCCCGCAGACGCCAGGCCCCTCTCCAGCAGACCCCCCTCCCTTCTGTGGAAAAACAAAGAGGCCCCAGGACACACACACACACACACACACACACACACTCACACACACACACACACTTACACACACATTTACACACACACACACACACAAATGACTAGAGACACATCCCGGGATTCCCCATATTTTCTCGTACTTTCTGGATTTCCGTTCTCCTCCCAAATTTTCCTATATGTTCCTGGACGTCAACGACTCTCGGGCAGGGCGAAAGGGTGGGATAGCAAAGGAGGGATTTGAGAATCAGCACACGTAGCTGATTTTCCCGGCGCCTCCCGGCGCCGGAGGCGGCCATGTATCGAGGAATGGGACCCTCGGTGGGGTCGAAACCACCTACATGCAGCAAATTTCGTAATCCCCCCTTTCCCTATCCCCCCCTTTCGTCTGGCCCGAGACTCATGGTGTCTGTCTGCTTTTCCCCCTCCTGACTGCCACAGGCCACCCCCCCGTGCCGCCTCCTCGTGCGCGCCGCCGGGGGATGTGGCACGAGAGGCCGCCGGTGGCCACGAGCACGAACGTGCCGCTGGTAGGCCTACGGTGGGCTCATCTTCCACCACCGCAACCGTCGGCAGCAGAGGGAGGAGGACCAGGAGGAGGAGAATAGGGGGAGGAGGAGGAGGAGGAGGAGGAGGAGGAGGAGGAGGAGGAGGAGGAGGAGGAGGAGGAGAATAGGGGGAGGAGGAGGGGGAGGAGGAGGAGGAGGAGGAGGAGGAGGAGGAGGAGGAGGAGGACCTCCTCATCTTTCCTTCTCCCGAGTCCTACACATGGTAGTGGTGGTGGAGAATTCGCCCATCAGCCTGGGGTCCATGCTTTCCCACGAGCTCTGGCGCGCGGTCGGCTGGCCGAGCGGGGACCCGGCAGGGCAACCGAACAGGCCCCCCACCTGCTTGCCGTCGCTCGGACGTCTATTTCCCGTGCATTTGTGGGTTGGTCCAGGATGCCAAGCCTGGGGCAAAAGAGAAATCCGAATTCGGGGACCTACTGCTGGCGGCGCGCACCAGGGGACAAAGGGGGGCCCGGAAAGCCTGAAGTCCATTTCCCGTGCATTTGTCGTTTTCGTGCGTGTTTTTTCTGCTCGATGGTCCAGGATGGCCCTCGATGGTTCCCGCCGAGAAAACATGCACACGTTACCGTTCGAGCGATGCCAAGCTTGGGGCCAGAGAGAAATCCGAACTCGGGGATCTACTGCTGGCGGCGCGCACCAGGGGACAGGGGGGGGGGAGGCCTCTTAGAAGCACCCCTGCTTCTTAGAAGGAGCCGGCCCTGCATCTGCAGAAAAGGCTTGCGCCTTCCAAGGAGCAGCATGCTGCCAAGCAGCCGTCCCCATCCTCCTGGCCCACTCTGCGCGAGGCCGAAGTGTACCGCTGGGAAGCCTGGGGTCCATGCTCTCCCACGAACTCAGGCGCGCGGTCGGTTCGCCGCGCGGGGGCCCAGCAGGGCAACCGAACAGGCCGCCACATGGGGCCAAATAGGGCTCCTGCTTTGGTGATCTACTGACCCGGGACTGTCCAGACCCGGGCCAGTCAAGCGTGACAGGATCCTGCAAGATCCTACAGGGTCCTGCGCGCAAAACCGGGTCCATGCATCCCTGGCTTTGCAGGATCCTGCACGATCCAGCACTCTGACCGACCCCCGTTTGCGTTGAACCCCGTCTCAAGGCCCCCGACAAATGCTGACGGGAGGAACCCGTTGCGATCTAACTGGTCTCGTGCACACTAAAAGATAGCTTGCTTTGCCAGGGGCTCCCGATAAGACGAAGCCAGGACAAGGATACATTCCGGTGAAGATTCATCGAGACATTCTGAAACATCGCGGCTCTGGGGGGTGCCTCGGGCGCCGCAGCCTCCTCGGAGCGTTCCGGAACGCTCTGAGAGCGCCCCAGAAGGCTCTGGAACGGATTTCTATTCGTCCTTGCACGGTCCGACCCGGCCTCGTCTTTGTGCGAAAAGCCTCCAGCCGGGCTCGAAGCGGGGCGACAAATACCCAGCGCGCGTGCGCTCGCGCGGGAAGAGGGGTGAGGAGGAGGTGCAAGGAGGTGCAAGGAGGTGGAGGTGCAAGGAAGGGCAAGGAGAGGGAGGGGGTGCAAGGAGTCGTCTGGAGTTCTGTGGACGTCTCCATGGACGGCGGAGGTCCTCTCTAGAGGGCGCCGCTGGTGGCCTCGTGGTGGCTCCTGAGGCCTGGGAAGGAAACAGACAGGGCAGTTAACTCCAAAAAGCCTGAACCCTCGAATCTCGAAGACGAGGAGGGGGGATAATGGCGGCGGAGGGACACTGGGGATGGATGTCTTCTTTTTCATGCTGGCCTTTGTGGAGCACCAATGGGGCTTCAAAAGCGTGGCAGGGGTGCAAGGGACAAGCAGGAGGGATGGGGGAGGAGGAGGAGGAGGAGGAGGAGGAGGAGGAGAAGGAGGAGGAGGGGTAGGAGGAGGGAGAAGTAGGAGGAGGAGAAAAAGGTACCGAAGAAAAGGGTAAGTACCGAAGAAGTGTCCGTCGCAAAAATCTTGCTGACGGGGCCGAGCTATGAGGGTGGGCTAGCCGACCGCGGGGGCAGGCTGACTATCGCCACGATCATGCCAATGGCGAGCACGTCCAGCATGCTCCTAAGGGACGAAGGGTAAATGTGACACTCCTCCTCCTCCTTATCCTCCTCCTCCTCCTTGTCCTCCCTCCTCCCTCCCTCTTCCCTCGTCCCTCCTCTCTCATTGACGGCGACGACGACGGCGTCATCGTCCGCGCCGTCGTTCTGGAGATGCGCGCTGGCGCGCTTCTGGAAAATTCGCCTGCTCACGCGTGGGCGCGGCTCCGAGAGTCGGACAGGAAGGAACTGGCCATCGCTCGGACGTCCAGTCCATTTCACTTGTTTTTCCAGTTTCGTGCGTGGGTTTTTCGCCAAATGGTCAAGGATGCTCCTCGATGGTCCTCGCCGAAGGAAAAATGTACACGTCCGAGCGATGCCAAGGCCTTGGGTGGAGGGGGGGGGGCAGAACGATGGGGAACGGTTGGAGGCGGCCGGGGGGTCTGAACTGGCTGGCCCCGAAAACACCTGTCAAGACGAGAGCAACTCCGCTCAAAACCGGAGCCCCCGGAGACCTCCCAAAGTCCATCTGTACTTTCCAACCGTTTTTGACTTTCCCAGGGCCGGGAAAAGGTCCCCGAAGACGAAAGAAGGCAAACGACATTCCCGAATCCAGAAGCTCGAACCCTCCTTCCTCCTTACTCTCCTGGACCATCCGCCTTGATCTTCCGCCCCTTTTGTCGAAGTGATATAGGTCAGCTGCCTCGAATTATGTAAATGTTCAATAAATTTCGATGACTTCTTCCGCGCCTTCTGCGGAGGTCGGAAGGTATGGAAGGTGGAGGTGGAGGGGAGGCTAGGTCTGGGTGCTCCTCGACGTCGGCGGCCACGGGGTCCGCCTGGAATTATTTGACATGCACATGGCAATCGAATCGAATGACGTCGACATGCGCGCGCGAGGGGACCGCGTGGTCTGAATGAACAAAAATTTAGAACAAGCGACCGCCGCACACGCGAGCTCGACTTCACCGATGCTGCACTACCCGCAGCCCCCCCCCCCAGGGGTACAAGAAAAGAGCGACGCCGCCACCGCCAGCGCGAGGAGCCCAGGGCGGTCAGCCCCTGGTGGTGTGGTCTCCCCTTTCTCGGCACGCGCTGGCATGGAGTATGGATCCGTGGATCTGGCGCGTGGGCAGCAGCTCCACGGATCTTGGAAAAAAACACAACAGGAACAGGTTTGCGTCTCCTCGTTGATGAACTACCCCCCTGCTGCCCCCCCGCCCAACCCGAAGAGGAGAATACCCAGTCGAACGGTGCGACAGGACACTCCGAACAGTTCCCTGGCGTCATCGCCGTTGCCTGTCCTCCTCCAACGGCGGCGACGGCGACGGCGACGACGGCGCGCCCCCGCGTGCGGGGAGTGGAGGAGAAAGGAGCTGAGGGTCAACGATAAGTAAGGGAAGACTGGCTCCCCAGACCCCCGACGTCATGAAATGTCATAATGTCGACCCCCAAAGGTCTCGACCCATTCCCCGGGACCGATTTTTCATTCTGAATCATTGTTTGACGATCCTGAGCTCCGGTAAGGGCCCCCAGAGGCCGAAAATAGCGGCACCTCCCGTCGCGATGTTTTCACGACCTGGTCATCGCTCGGACGTCCAGTTCCTGTGCTTTTTTCTGTTTCGTGCGTGGTTCTTTCGCGAAATGATCAAGGGTGCTCCTCGATGGTCCTCGCCGAAGGAAAAATGCACACGTCCGAGCGATGCCAAGCGACGCGAGGGGGTCTGGGGACTCCGGGCGATACATCGGCGAGAGGCCCTCGATGGCGAATCTGCACGTCCCCGAGCGGAGGATCGAATAGGGAGGGCGATCGAATCTGCAGGTCCCCTCGAGGGCGATCGATCGCCGATAGGGGGCCCGAATCGGGCCCCCTATCGGCGATCCATGGACGCTGGAGGCATTCGTGCGCTCTCCCCCTGCGCCGATCACCCTCTACGGTTGCCCCCGAGGAGCAGGAGGGGAGACGGGGGACGAGGGAGCAGGACGACGACCTGCGCCGACGACGACTACGACGACGACGACGACGACCACCGCCTCCATGATCCATGATGGCTCGAAGGCCTCTGGAGGCCTTCGGAGCTCCTCGGGAGGGACAGCTGGTACGCCCCCGGACCTCCCCCCAATGGTGCGAACTGGCTGGGATTTCGAGGCGAAGCCAGCCGTGGCGACGTGCTCCCCCCGAGCTGGGCGCTCCAGAAGGCCAACCAGGCCAGGGCAGCGGAAGCGGCACCTCCTCCTCCTCCTCCTCCTCCTCTTCTTCTTCTTCTTCTTCTTCTTCTTCTTATTATTATTATTATTATTATTAGTATTATTATTATTAATATTAGTATTATTATTATTATTACTATTAGTAGTATTATTATTATTCTTATTATTATTCTTATTATTATTATTATTATTCGTCTTCTTCTTCTTCTTATTATTATTATTACTATTATTATTATTATTCGTCTTCTTCCTCCTCCTCCTCTTCCTCCTCCTCCTCCTCCACCTCCCACCCTCCGAGCCTCAAGGTTCTCAGCAGGCACTTCGGAGGTCCCCCGAAGACGGCGGTGGGGCACGTGGCGTGGCGCGAGGGAGGTGGCCTGCTCAGAAGGGGGGTCCCCCCCTCGGCCTCCACCTTCCACGCCTTCCGACCTCCGCGGAAGGCGCGGAAGAATTCATCGAAACGCATGGAACCCTCACGCAGCTTACAAAAAACACGCAGATCACACCGAAGAAGGGGCGCCAGGTTGAAGCGGAAGGTCCGGAAGAATGCGGGGGAGGGAGCGCCACCTCCTCGCGCCACCCCCTCGTTCGCTGCGAAGGTAGCGGGTCCTGAAGGAGACGGGTCCTGGACCTGGGGGCCTACCCATGGGACCAGCTCTTTATCGTGCGTCGTTTCTGAAGGCCCTGGGGGCCGTGGAGGGCCCCGAGGGGCTACAAACTATGAACGTACGACATACGGACCCATCTCCTTCAAGACCCTTCTGCTGCATGGCGACCCCGGGACCCCTTGAGCGCGCCACCGACGAAAATGAATGGAAACGGTCGGGGACACTGGCTCAGGGGGAGAGACATGGACCTGGAATCTCCTGGGCGGGATGAGCTATGAAGCCCATATCGGCGATGCATGGGCACTTGAGGGGAAACCCAAAGGTACCGATACCGCTACTCCCCGGACCTCTCCTGGGGTGCGTTCTGACCAGGGTTTCGAGGCGCATCCAGCGGTGGCGACGAGGGCCCCCCAGGAGGCCCCAAAAGGGGAAA